GCTGATGGCGGGTGAAGGAGCTGTAAGACCCAGGTGGTGAGAGGTTCCAGGGGCAGTCCCACAGCCCAGGAGATGCAGAGCAGCCCATGCACTGCTCTCTCTGTCCTGTCCCATTCCGAGGAACCCCTTCAGTTAATGCTCTGAAGAGCCTTCACTTGTTACACCTTTACTTTGCACCTCCCTTTTCTGAAAGATTGCATCTAAAAATTCTAAATTCTGAGCAATGGCTCATCTGCTTTGAAGGAACAGTGTGCTGCCTGCCATGTTCATTCACTCTCCTTGGCAATGTTTGGGTTTGGGTATAACATTTATATTACATCCATTAGAGCATAGAATGGGGTGTGAATTACTCAAAGCTGTTCCAATCATCACTTAAAATCTTTATGGATTGAAAGTAATAAACATAACTGCAGCATTGCTGAGACTTCATGCCACTCAGCCGCCAGTTAGATACAGCTAAAAAAAGTCTGTAGATTATTGGGCGAGACATTCAAGTCCTAAAGTGACTTCTGCTCCTAATTTTCACCTGCAGTGGTCACCGGCTCTTTGTATCACCTGCTGATACAAACCCCGAACACCAGCTACAAAGCCACTAGCATCATTCCTGGAAAAGGGCCCTTTCCTGGCAGGACCGCAGTGTTCTTTTCATAAATTAACAGTGCTTTTCCAAGAAACTGCTCTGACTCTTCACTGCAGTCCAAGTTTGTTCAGGGATGGGTCCTGTTTGCAGCACTGGCGCACAAACACGATGGCCAGTAACTGGAACCCAGTTGCCAGAAGAACAGCTTGGCCAGCTTTTGCAGTCAAATGTGGGACTGCAGCCTGCTGGACCTCTGAACTGGTAGAATTTAGTGATGGCAGTAGGTAAAACACCTGGTTTGGGGTTATCTGCTTTAAATAGGTGCAGGTGAAATCATGAAAATTAACCTGAAAGGTCATTAATCAAACTGCCAGAAACCTGTTTTGATTTATAATTTGAGAGGGGCAGGGTTTCTACCTTCCCACTTTTGGGACTAATAGAGATCTATTTCTTCGATGATTAATTTACTTGTCCTCTACTTCAAACTTGTTCTGGCCAGAAAGAAATATTATAATGCCACCAATTTTCTCAACGGAGATAAAATTTACTGCAACTAACCTGCACTAGTGCTTTGGTGAGAGGAGGCAAAGCAAGAAATCCCTCAGACAGGTGAGGGTGTCTCAAAGAGAAGTAAGAAGAGAGATGGCCTCTGAGTCATCATGTTTCCTCTTTTCCATATTAATGGCTTAAATGGAAGATAGATAGTAATGAAATAGAAATGTAATGAATGCTCTGCAAAGAGCACATAGCAGCTTTTTCTTCTGAGAAGGGACCTCTGCATGGTGAACATACTCAGCTTGGAAGTGATGCCACAGAGGATTTGCGTTCACTGGGTGAGAAGAATGCCAGAATCCAGACATGGCCCCCTCTCTGCTCCCATCAGGATCTCAGATAAACCATGCCTGACTCTGACTGTTAAGTTGAACCAAGCTACACAACTACTGAGAAATGAGCAATTAGCAAATGTACCAGCAGCCAGGCTCGCTTTCCAATATATTTGCTTACCCTGGGAATTTGGGAGTTGAGGAGTCCATCCTGCACCAGCCCACACTGCATTCCTGGAGCTCTGAACCAGTGGTTGCAGAGGCATCACGTCTTCTCTCACCGTCAGGTCACTCAAATCCTGCTGCACAGGAAGCAGCTCATGCATTAGGAGGTCTTGGGGTTCATTTCCTGGAAGCTGACAAAACTGTTCCTTTAATGAAACGAGCTGCATTTTATGCTCCACAGACTGGTGCCTTTTCTTGCACATTGAGAGTGTCCTCACTGAGGTACCGATGTTCATTCCAGTGCCCCAGCCAGCAAAACAGCTGAGCTGAGGAGGGCTGGGAGCTGGCTCAGGCAAATCACCAGGTCGTGTGCTGGGGGGATGAGACAGGCTAAGGTAGGGGAGGAACAGCCCCAGCAGGAAGGGGAGGAACACCTGGCATAGTGATAGCTCCACCAGCAAAGCCTCGGTGGGCCAGAAGCGGGCAGTGGCTCCCTGGCACCTGTGTGCCCATCCCAGTCATCTACTCATGTTGGGACAAATGGATGGACCAAACCACCTCTCTCCTACCCAGGCTGAGGGACCTCACTGACAAACAGGGCCATGACAAACTACAGCGAAAACCCCAGTTTAGGCAAATTCCCATCTGTTTTAGCTAAGATAATTTTAGTTTACTGCTTTTTTCTTTTTTTTTTTCTTTTTTTCTTTTTTTCTTTTTTTTTTGGCAGTTGCATTTGCACAATTAACTGCAATCTTGGTTTTGGAAAAAAAAAATGCAGCACACTAATTAGCATATTAAGCCTCCTCGTTTCCCAGTACTGTATAATGTTGTGAAAGCTAATCTATAATGTATTGGATGTTATGCAAATTCTTGGTGCTCCGTATGGGGTTTGTAAAGGCATGCAAATTAAAAATAGTGTTTGCAATAGGACTGGGGGGAGGGGGAAATTTGCACAATAAAATATGCAGGTAGGAGGAAAGGTGTTTATAACCTTCTTCCTATTGTTTGTGTATTCTCAGCTGTACAATGCTTTTCAAAGCAGAGAGATGTATTGCATAAAATCTCTCCAAATTGGATAGTTTTTAAATGAAATTTTAAATGAGAGCACTGTTCTCTAAACAATAATTCACCCCACTCTCTGCTGGGGCCTGTAAGTGGTAGGTAAAGGTACTCAGCTTTCACTGACTGGCATTTCAGTCATACACGGCTGCTCACAGTGTGTTTGCCTGGGTGTCACTGGGGGTCTCAACACTGCCACTGCTGTCCATGAGGGTCCCCAGTGGTGGCCCTGCTAAGACCTGGCAGGTGGCCATCGGTGTAACCCAGCAGGGCAGGTGCATTGCTTGCAGCACCCAGGGAGTTTGCAGCGTGCGGAGCATGCTTTGATCCTGTTAATGTTTTATAGCCCTACCTGCAGGAGGATGTAAGTGTAGCTGCAGCACAGCTGGCTTTTTAGGATGCCTCTGGCTCCTGGTGGAAGGGCTCTGTGCCTGCTGCCAGCGCCGAGCCAGCAAACACGGTCAGTCTCCTGCGGCTTGTCACCGCCAGCCGTCGGCTGTGTCCGCCTGAGTGCGTACAGCCAGCCCTGATTGATACTTAATTAGATTACAGCTGCCGCTTAAAAATAGCCATTTTATAAAAATAAAATCTTGGCTGGTGTCAGACCGAACCCTGTGCAGACCAGGAGTGGTGCTGCCTCTCCCTGGACAGCCAGGAAGCTCTGCAGGCAGTGCTGGCATTGCTGCAGCTGGGAGCAGAGACCGGTGGTTCTCCCCACCTCGATGGCTTTTCCCTGCCTTTGTCTCCCTGCTGGCCTTGGTGATACCACACTGGGTCACATCAATGCAGCCCATGGGGCATTCAGCTCAGGAGCTCTTGAACATGCTGATTTTTATCCTGGTGCCCCACAAGCTGAGCACAGCCTGTCCCGCCTCCGTGGGGCCGCTACTCTCCTTCCAAAGGGCACGGGGCATTTCCCAGGGCAGCGCTGTCCAGCATCAGCCACCGACAATCTCACAGCCATCTCAGAGGCAGCTCCTTGCTGCGAGATGAGGGAAGGGGGCTTTTCTTTACCAGCTACTTCTTCCGGCATCTTGCCCTGCCCCAGGCATGGCAGGGCTCGGCCCTCCTGGTCTGGGGATGTTTCCCTAAATTCCATTGTGCAGTTAGGCTTGTATTTCGGGTGTTTTGTATAGGTCGTGCTGCTCTTTCTCCTGAGTCTCTTCCTCTTGGCAGAGTCTCAGGCCCTTTGGGAGAAAGAGAGGGAGCAGCAAGTTCCAGGCATGAGGCTGGCACTGGGGCAGACACGGGCTGAGCTCCTGCATCTCCTCCACTGACAGCAGGCCTGGATGGACACAGAACAGGCTGTCCATGTGTCTGCCTGGTGTTATGCCGTGCAAAGTGGCAGAGCATTGCTGAGGATAAGGGCCCAGCCCTTTCCGCCCCACCAGCTGCCCTGCACAGCCATGGAGCAGGGATCAGAGCTTTCCAAGCAGGAGCAGGAGCTGAGGATGTCCCTTATGCAGGGAGCCTGTCTTATCGTAGCAGGCAGGAAAAATAACAAGACATCACACAAGGAGGAAATAGAAATGACAAAATGCAACTGAGAGCTCCTCAGGTGCTGCTTTCCCACAGGGAAGAGGCAGATGAGCTCAGGTACCCTTGGGCTGTGGGCTCTTGGCAGCACCAGTCAGCAACTCCCTTTGTCCTGACAACATTTCCCACCCTGGGCACTTTCAGCAAGCGTTTCCATATTCACTCATTTGCTTCACAGAGGTCTGCATTTGCTTATTTTCTGCTGCAGTTCCCTGGACTGGGGGAGTTCAGGATGCAGCAGCTCCGGGGAGCGCAGCCAAGCACCGTGCCTCCCAGCACAGCCCCTGCAGCAGCAACCACGGGAGCTGGAGAAGCCATGGCTGGCAGGGAAGCAGCTGTGAGGGCTGGCAGGACCTCCCTCCAGGAATGCAGCCCAGGGGTTTTTGCTTTGCAGATGTGCACACACCCCCCCACAGCGCGGGGGCCGTGGGGGACCGGGAGCCACGAGCACTGCTCCCCTGTGAGAAGCCAGAGTGGCTGGGTTTGGGGCTTCTGTCTGTTAGTGCAATACGAGGGTCCTGCTGGATCAAACCCACCCGAATCTGTAAAGCTACTGCAAGTGCCTGTGGGGCACCAAACTGGGAAATTGGCCTTGCTTTGTTTCTACTGCCTTCATTTAACAGTGAGTGCCGATTACTCAAAGCGATATGGGCAGGACCTGGTAATGTAGAGATGCTCTAGAGTTAACTTAAGGGGATGATCCAGTTGCCTGCAGTGTAAATACTTTGTGGCCAGGAACCCTGCTTTATCGCTTTGTATAGTATTAAAGTAGTTTAAAGATTGAATAACATAAAATAACATAATATAATGTTATTTATGTTATTTCCCACGTGAAGAACTCCTGTAAACCTTGCAGTATTGAAACTCAGTGAACAAGGCATCTTAGACAAGCTGAAAAACAAATGGTGGTACGATAAGGGTGAATGTGGAGCCAAGGACTCCGGAAGTAAGGTCAGTCGCTGAAGGTCTTTTTGTACTGATTAGCAATCACATTTTGACCCCACTGTTTGTTTATACCAAGAATGACTTTCAAAAGTTGCTATTTACATTTCAAAGGTTGAAAGAAAAGACTAGAAAAAAATAATTTAAGTCTCAGAACATGACAGCGTTTTTCTTATGTGCAGTAACAGACTGTAGTTGTAAGTATGTTTTACTGTGTGAGTATTTTGCTAGAAAAACAAGCAAAGAGAAGCCCCCAAAGCCTCCCAAGGTGGTGTTTTCAATTAAATGTGCAACTTTTAGCACAGTCATTGTGTATTATTCAGGCCAGCATCTTTTCTTGTTTTTAGTTTTATTGAAAAAAATTTTTGTTTCAAAATTATGACTTAGATTCTCTACATGTCGGTTTGGGAGACAGTCACGTGCTTGCTAAGGGCGTAAATTTTCAGGACAGACCACTGATAAGGAAAAAACACCTTTCCCACCCTGTTTCCCATTTCAGTCTGTAATTGCTTGGATTTTTTAAAAAAAAACCTAGAAATTCCAATGGTGAGTCATTACCTAAATGTTGTTTATTACTTTTTATACTGCTTTGAACCATTTTGCTGCTGTACTGCCCTGTTGCCCTCCAGCTGTGCTGCGGGGCTGGCCAACCTCACGTGGAACTGCTGTAGACTCCAGCGGAGATCCCACCCCTGAGGTGGATCACCCCAGTAGCTGCACACTTAAATTGCAGGAAATATTTATTTACACCATTCAGTTAAAAGAAAACACAGAGGATTTTTTTTTTTCCTTAATGCTTATAGACCCAATGGGGAGAAAAACCCTGTAAAAGTGCTGGGCTTGTTGGAGTGAAGGACATTTTCAAAGGCACCAAGAGGAGGAGAAATCCACCTCCAGCTGAAATCGGTCGCAGTTGAGTGCCTAACTCCCCTGGTGCCTTTGGAAGTGCTCTCTGTAATCATTCAAACAGAAAACTATAATTTCAAAGCACCCTCTCAGTGTCGGAGGACAATTTCAAGTTCCAGCGAAGCCAATAATAAAATTTCATTGATTTCAGTTGGACTGGAAGTTGCTTAGGGCACAACCCTGTAGCTGTTGTATGAGATAAATTTGGGATCATGGGATATCTGAACACACAGCAGCTGCAGAAGGGAAATGTAATTGAAAAGAGATATAAATGAGATCTTTAGTTTATATGTCAGGCTGTTTGCTACAATTGCATTCATCCAAACTGCTCGTGAAGTGCACAGACACTTGCAAGGTAGATCCTATTTTATTGCAACTATATTTGAATTTTTCTCTCCCTGAAGGGACTTGTTAATGAAGCTCTGTCAGCAGGTGTTTTCTCTGGGCACAGCCAGGTTGCTTTGGCACCTGCCTGTCCATCCCAGAGTGGTGTGGTGTGCCAGCCCAGCCAGGGCCATGCCAGCCACCCTGCCTGCCCACAGCCAGCCCACCTGCCCATGCAGCAGCAAAAGGGTTGCAGCTCTATTTATTCTGATTACAGAATCCTGTTCTTAAAAATGCAAGCCTCTCCCCCATCTGACATGTACTGAAGGAAGGTAAACCCTGGCCAGTGATTTTTGTTTAACAATGTTTTTATTCAGTAACTCACTCTCCCAGAGTTGCTGGTTAGCTCAGGGCTCTGCTGCTTGACCTCTAAGGAACTGACCACCTTCCTAGGGTGTTGTGGTGTTTTTTTAATATTGAAAAGAAATGTAGATAAGTTTAGGAACATCTCGGTAATTTTACCTACATTCACGAGAACCAAATGTGCAGTGGTTTGGCTTTTTCTTTTTCTGTTTTTGTCATGGCCTTTTCCAAAACCTGCTGTTTTACTCAGCCACTGCTTTCCCCGGCACAGCTTTCCCGCAGTGCCTTTGCCACCAGGGATGCTCGGCCGTAGGCGGGTTTGCTCGGGGACACCAAAGGCCTGGGACAGTCAGTGACCAAAAATATCTCATCGCCTTGGAGTCAGCCAGGGCTTCACCCGCCACAGGGTGGAAGGCAGAGCAGTCACTGCTGCAGCCCCAGGCTGCGGGGATGGGGGGACAGCACCGCTCCCTGAGCCGGACACCGAACACCACGAGTGTAGCATTTGCAGCTAGGACTGAGAGCAAAGTAACTTGTTGTCTGTGTGCCTGTCTGCTCCTCACAGCAAAGCTAACGGCATCACTCGTTTCTCTTAGGACAAGACGAGCGCTCTGAGCCTGAGCAATGTTGCCGGGGTGTTCTATATCCTGGTGGGAGGCCTGGGGCTGGCCATGATGGTGGCACTGATCGAGTTCTGCTACAAGTCTCGGGCCGAGTCCAAGCGAATGAAACTCACCAAGAACACGCAGAACTTCAAACCTGCTCCCGCCACCAACACCCAGAATTACGCCACCTACAGAGAAGGCTACAACGTGTACGGCACAGAGAGTGTGAAAATCTAGGGGTACGGCTGCGGGCCGGGACCTGAACCCGCTGGGGTTTCTCCTTTCTCTCTTTTTTTTAGCTGTCTGTGCTATTTTGTTGTGTTCATCAGCAGGCTGCTGCAAGGGGCCTTTTGAAACATCCTCCTGTGGCAGCAGTGGTTTAAATTTCTCCCCTGCTCAGAAGTAAGCTTGGTACCCTCCTGTAATGCATTCATTCAGGGGTAGCTGGCTTCATGCTGTAGTGAGTAACTCCTCTCTCCAGCATCGTGCTGGTTCAAAATGGAAGTATTTTGTTAAATGCTTTAAAAATTGCATCTCTCTCTTGCTGGTGATCTCTTCCCCTTTGTTTTTTAAGCTATAATCAGGTCAGGTAAGTGGTCTTAGGAAGTCTCAAAAAAAGCCTACGATAGAGCAAAAACTTTTGCGCTATAATTTGTGATTTCTGAAGCTGGAAAAGGAGAACTGAATTGCTGAAAAATGACCCTGGAAAAGCCTGGTTAGCCCACAGCCTGTGCCTCTCCCCGGGCTGAGCTCTCCTGCCCCTCGCTGCCAGGCAGTGATGAAATCTTTCTGGTTTTATTATAGATCCTCACCCTGACAGCTTGCAAGAGGAAAAGCAGCAGAGAATGTGGCTACTTCATGGATTTGGACCACCTGAGCCAGTCGTACTCTCTCCGAGGTGTCAGGCGTGACACGCATTGATGATGGTGCAATGTACTTTTAATAGGAAAAACTGATTTTTTTTTCCTTCAGTGCCTTATGGAAGACTCTGAGACTCACAACAATGCAAACCATCACTGAAATATTCTTGCTTTGCTTGAAAGAAGTAAAAGAAAATAAGAGAGGAAAAGGAAAGAAAAAAAAAATAAAAAAAAAAAAGAGAGAAAAAGAGAATAAAACAAAAAAAAAAATGAGAAAAAGGAAAAAGAAAAGGAAAGGACTGGTAACAAGGTATTGGTATGTGGAAAAAAAAAAATCTTGTAAAAAAAATCAGTGCAACAAAAGCCATTCTTTGATACCACTGCACAGTAACTGAACTTGTGTCCTGAAAGCAAATCGCAGCCGGTTTCATCAGCCACCCCAATCGTATCAAATTATGAAACTCCTCCTGACACAAAGCCTCAGAAATCTGCTGCGTGCGAACACAGACCGGCCTGCCACTGCTTGTATGAGCTGATGTCAAGATGTTTCAGTATTTACTTACAGTGGTGTGATTTTAATTTTTTTTCTGGGCCACTTTGATCTCTCCAGCTAATTTGAGCAATTCTGTATAGCAGTAAAAGGTGTAACACCTGAAGAAAAGAATCTGTGAGTGCAAACCAATTAAGGTCAATGACTATGAATCTGTAAATCCAAAAGAAGGGAATTTGTGGAACTGCATGACTTGCTTCCAGATCAGTAAATTAATTCCTTGACAAGGTAGCTAAAGTGTGGGCAGAAAATATTGCATTCCTTTTTTGTTCTATCATCAGGCATACCTACAGGTGCTTTATTAAAGTGACATTGGGTGGCTTTTAAAACAAAAAAAATAAAAAATAAAAAAAGGAAAAGCTACTTGCTCTTTAGGTTCAGACCATATATCTCTTTTCTTGCTGTGCATTTGCATTTTAATTCACTGTTTAATATCAAGAAATGAAGCAAAGAAGGGCAGGTTAGTTTTTCCCAGGCCTGCTTCTGCTTCACCCCAGTTCTCTCCCAACTAGCACTGTGCTCAGCTAATGCTTCTCAGTAATGGTCCTTGTGAAACAGAAGTAAGGGAAGAGGGTAGTAACTCCAATTAGAGCCGCAGTTCCAGAGTAATAGTAAGCGATCTAACATGACTCCTGCTAGTACTGTTATAATATATCAGCTCCTGCCAACTCTTGTTTCGTGGCTCCTGGTGAGAGGATGCTCCTGTCCCTGCCCCTCAGGGAGGAGGACACCGCCAGCTCTGCTCCAGGCAGGGGCTCGCTATTACTCACATCCAACATCTTAGACAGCAGCATTTCAGCCTTGAACCTCTGCCTGGAAACTACTTAACTTCATCTTTAAAAAAATAAAAATTAAAAAAAAAAAAAAAAAAAAAAAAAAAAAAAAAAAAAGAAAGAAAAAGAAAAGGAAAAGACAAAAAAAAAAAAAAAAACACACGAAAACAAACCAACCACAAACCTTTAAACATATTGTCAATCACATGGGAAATGTTCAATGGAATATCTGCATACTAATTACCTCTAATCGACAATATGTATTTTCTGTAGTTTACGATATAGAGTTTTATTTCATCAGTAACATACAATGAAAAAGAAGCTCATTTAAACCAGTCTGACCTTTAGGCGTTTAGTTTGCTGATGATAGATTTGAACTTTTAATAGGATTTAAAAACAAAAAGCAAAAAAAAGAAAAAAAAAGAAAAAGAAAAGAAAGTCTCGTAAAAAATAAGTATTTCCAACAAAATGTAATATAAAATCATTTTAAAAGCTCATAGGAGAATAATTTATTGTTCGAGTTTTTAACAAGATATTGACAAAAAAATTGTTGTTTTGTTTTCGTTTTCTTTTCATGAAACTGTGATCTTTTTTTTTTTTCGACTTCTGAACGCGATCACGTCCCCAGCAAGGGCGAGCTAAAGCTGTGCGGTTATGAGTTGTATTTAAAACAAACATTTTTCTTAAAAGCTGTATAAAAGATGTATGTTTATCAGATCAATTTTTAAGAGTGGAGGCTTCACACCAGTGAAGGGGGTTTGGTAAATGGTTTGATATTTTTTAAACTTGCATGTAAAGCTAAAACAAAATGTGTTGAGTGCTTACAAATTCCAGCTACCAACTTCAAGCTATTGGAAGTTCGGCAGTAGTCTCACGATGATTTGTTTTGGTATATTTTTTTAATTTGTTTTGCTTTGGGGGATTTGGGGGTTCTTTCCTTTTCTTTTGGGTTTTTTTCTCCTTTTTTTTTTTTTTTTTTTTTTTTTTTTTTTTTTTTTTTTTTTTTTTTTTTTTTTTTTTTTTTTTTTTTTTTTTTTTTTTTTTTTTTTTTTTTTTTTTTTTTTTTTTTGTAATTTAAGTTCCTATTTTTGGTCGTTTAAACTGCACTTCAGTGAGCAGAAAAATTGCCAAGCAAACTAATGGCTGTAAAAGCATAAAACTGCATGTGTGGGCATCAATTACTGAGCCTCATTTTGATGAGGTGTTGTACAAAGAGTTTTAATACATTTTGTAAATAAAACTGTAAAGAAAAAAATTGAAGAGCCTGCTTATCTTTTCATCAGAAGAGAAAGAGTCCCTCCCTGCTGCTGTCCCTGTGGTCAGTCTGGGATGCTCCACAGGTATTTACCACAGAACCCTCGAATGGTTTGGGTTGGAAAGAACCTTAAAGATCATCCATTTCCAGCCACCCCACCCTAAACTCACTAGACCAGGCTGCTCAAAGCCCTGTTCAGCCTGGCCCCAGGGGTGTCACCGGTGCTTCTCCCACCACACTGCTGGGAAATGCTTCTTTCTGGTTTGGTACCCTGTAGACCAACTAATTTATTGTTTCCTTGATGAGTGAAGCTGATTGATCCTGACCAGGTCCAAGGGGCACCCTGTGGGGGCAGGGGAGAACCCTCAGGGCTCCAGCGAGGGCAGGAGATGCTTTGCCCCTGCAGTGGGAAACAGTGTAGGTAAAAACATTCCTCAAATGGTGACTATACAGATGTATTTTCCTACAATTCCCACCTTTTCAGCAATGCTTTTTTAAGGAAAAAATAAACCTTCACCAACACTGCAACTAATCCCAACTCAATAAATTAGACTTTATGTCATCCACAGCACAGTTTTTCCAAGTCGCCACAAACTATGAACTGTAGGAAGTGATCCTGATATTAAACGGGATTAAACATGGCAATCACTGGTACCTTTTGCTACTCAGCACCCAGTGCCCAGCAGTTGGTCTCAACCATGGGGCTGCTTGAGCCTGGCCCCAATCCCTGTGGAACTGCTGCCAGCCACTGATGCTCGTCGTATGTGACCACATACACCCATGTCTTCAGCCAAGGCTTCAGCAACAGCAAAGTAAGCTCAGGAATACGCAAGGGCTAAGTGAGAGCAATAACAGCAATTATTTGACTCTAAACCATCCTACAAGGACAAAGGTTTTGGGCTGTGGATGTTTTGGGCAGGGTGTTGTGCTGGGCACACGAGGCTCTGTCCCACCAGGCACAGGGACACGGGGCCTTCCTTGCGCTGGCCCTGGGGGAGCCTGTGCTGAAATCAGCCTATTTACATGTAAAGTGCCCACACAATGAATGCAGGGAGGCATGCAAAAAAATATTGTTCTGTCTTTAACCTTCATTTCATGCTCAACATCCAGGCAAACGTGGGCGAGCTGCATTTTTCTAGAGAGCGGTCTTGACCTGCTCCCTGCTGCCAGACAGCTCCCTGCACCCTGCACCAGCCAGGAGAGGAGTCCCACCAGGGTCTCACCAAGCACCAGGTCCTGCAAAATGAATGTTGAAGTTTTCTAATGCATTTGAGTCTGGCAAAACAAAGCAATTAGGGTAGGGGTGAAGAGACACGGCTGCCCCCAGTGAGCTGGGAGATCCTGGCCAGCTGGGACAGGGTGGGAGGTCCCACAGGGGACTGCAGCCACAGGGATGAGGGGCAGGGACAGGTCCTGCAATCCCGGCCCAGGTTGCAGCTGTTGGGAATCTGGAGCATCCTTGGGGCACAAGGACAGTGGCCACTTCAGCAGTGGCAGCAGGGCTGCACCACAGCCCTGGAACACTGGGCTCTAACACACCCCAGTGTGACCTTGTCTTTAGACTTCTGTGGGGGGCAATAATATATGGAAAAATTCAGAGTAATGTATCCAGCTTCCAGAGTCATCAGTGGAAGCAAAAGGATGTCAACAGTGCTCAAGTTCAGGCCTAAAAACCCAAAGCAATAGCAACTCCTCCCCACGGCACAGAGCACAGCTGACAACAAAATAAAATCAATACTGTATCATTATGGCATAGTTTTTCCTTCAAAGGTTTTGTGCAAAGGACTACAACATTATTTTTTTAAAAAATAATTTTTCTTTATGGTTATTTAAATAATAATACGTCACGGGTATGAAAATTAAATTATGAAATGTCTTTGGTTCTCATATTCATCATTTCAGTCTGGAAAATTGGTTCTATTTTGCAGGCAGCAATATATAAACAAGATCTGGATAATGATAGCTCTATTCAATTAACCTAAAGCATTTAAGTACAGAGATAATATTTGCATGGATATTATAAATTTCAAAGTAATATTAGCTCAGAATATAATACATCTAAAATTGGTATCGGGGAGGACAGTGCCCCCAGGAGCAGCAGTGCCCGCAGCCCAACGCTGTGCTGAGCCACACTCGGTGCCCCCGTGGCACTGGGGCTGCAGGAAGAGCCCAGGCCAGCATTTCACCATGGGCCAATTCCAAAAGGGTCAGGGCAGCCACTGCTGCATCTTGCTCAGCCCAAGAGCGTCGGGCTGGAGACCCCCACCACG